GCCACCTAAGTAAACTCTTTATATTTAAACTCTGCACTGTGCCATACTAGTCAAGTTAAGATGTTGTCTGAAATTGTGCTAGTGTTACTGGGAACGGCTGAAAAATTCAGGTTTTGGTGACGATGCAACCTGGGTGGATGAGTCGGGTAACGCAATGCTGTCATTCTCACTGTGATTTCAGCTGATAGTTGGGGATTTGCATGACTCCTCAAGTCAACAATAGAAATACAGTAGTTGTTTAAATAAATGAATCATGTTCAGAATTTTAACAACGAAGTTCTTCAGTTTTGTTTTGACTTTTGTGCGCGCAGGCATCACTACCAAAAATGGGGGGTAACGGGCAGGCAGGAAAATACCAAATTTCTTCCTGCTGCTGCTCTTTTTACTGGAAAACAATTTGTATCTTCTGATGTTTAATTTCTTCTTCTGCTGTAAACCTCTGTAGAGTCCACGATGTAACCAACAAAAGTGCTTGACACGGTTGTGTCTGGGCATTGAGTTATAACCCTTTTCAATTAGTACCTACTCTGCTGGGCTTGGCTCCATTAGGTGGTAGTGTCTGGTACCAGGCACTAAGCCCAGGTTCCAGGCGATCTGAGTTGAGGTGAAAATATGACACGTCAAGCCAAGTAGGTCTTAATGAAAAAGGGATATTAGTATACGCAGCTACTGGCAGATGCAAAAAGGAGCAACTACCTTTTTGGGGATGGGGATGTAAAAAGGGGCAGACTTAAAGGACGCAGATATGTGACTGGGTGGTTGGCATTATCTCAATCAGCTGTTCTGTTTGTGTTTTTGAAATTTCAGCTCACCTTACTCTTTTCAAACTGAGTCATTTTGTCCTCTTTGGCAGCATTCTAAGATATTAATTATTGCCATGTCTTAGAAGCTTTGGCTGAGACAGGTCATAAAAACAGATAGTGGTGTGCAAGGATCCTCAGTGCACACATGTATTCTCGCTAATTGGTTATAGCGCATAGATTATCTTCCCAGAGTCATGATGTTTATGAGTAAAAACAAAAGACAGAAGGCGCACTCACTGACTGCATCTGTTTGACAAACAGAGCGTCCTGCACCACATGATGTTCTTTCTATACATTTCTGACTTTCTCTTGCTCAGTGCGAATCACTGAGAAAACATCCTGTTGGCCACTTCCTGCCTCTTCTCCCTTAGCTTCCTGTTTATGCGACTTTTTGGGTCGTTAAACAGAACATTGCTCGATGCTCCCGCGTTACGGTCAGACTTGGTCAGGCTGGTTGGAGCGGTTCTTCTTGTCATGGTGTCTGTTGGCTAAGTGAAGCAGACAGTCTCTTTGTTTTGGCGTTAGCTCACACTGTCATATTGTCTGTCTACCATATCAGAATCTGCCCCCATTATATCCCGACATTTGTGTTTGATGTGGTTCCCTCCCTCCTGGCTCAGGTAGGCAGGCTAGTCATGGGGTGATAGTCCCTACCCAGCTTTCCTTCCTTTTTCAGTCTCCTCCTCCTTTATCTTGTTAGTCAAGTTTCAGGCAGTAAGGAGAGTAAGGTTTCAACCCTGTCTTTAAGCTGAGTAATATCATTTTACTAAGCCACATAAAAGCCCTGCAGTTTTGCCTAAATAGACATCCAGCAGACAGACATACTGTGTTTAATTTCTTTAATTCAGAAATCCACATGTGACATGTTAATTTGATTTGTGTGGTGATAATTTGACACAGTTGCATTTTACCAAGCTTTTTTTCTTCAAATATTTTGATCCGTATCTTTCCTTAAAATTCCCACGATGATTAACCAGACAAAAATGTAGTGAAAGCAAAGTCACATTCCTTCCTTCATGAATGGAAAGAGCATATTTTTTTATGCTCGTATTTCTCACAATATAATTATTGCTGCTTCGCTAGTGTTTCTTTTGTAGTTTTCCCTTTAACATGGTCATCATACCTCCTGCAACTGCTGTATTTGATTATAATTATGCAGCATGGATTTATAGAAAGTGCTTCTTTTCTGTTTAGAGTGGTCGCCTAGAGTCTGATCTGTATCGCAGAAGGACAGTTTTTTTGCCACTGGTGATGAAGGTTGTATTAGAGACTTGGGTCTTGTATGTTTAGCAGCAGATCTCTTTAAGTGCAGCTGGGTAATAACTGCCTTCCTGCTTCTCAGTCTAATAAACATAGCTTGGAAAAGCTAGCTTAGCTCTTTCTCTGTTCTGCTGCTGAAAAAAAACATGTTTGGGCTGTTTCTGTGGTCCCTGCTGTTAAAGGCTTAGCAGAAGGAATGTGTCTAAATGGCAAATGCTTTGGGGAACGTGAGACTGTATCAAAGAGGGGTGGAGGGTACATTAGCTTTAAGTATTCACAGATGTTAGTGAAAGTTCATCAGCCCTGTACTTGTGAGTGGAAAAATATTTTCCTGGAAAGTTTTTAGACACCGGAAGGCTGCGCTGCCATGCTTCCTTCTTGCCTTATTTACTTGTGTTTGTGGCCTGCAGTGCTTCCAGTCTGGGAGTGAGAGAAGTTGCTCAGAAATCAGACTCAGACACATCTACTGGTCCACAGTGTCTTTGTACACGCACGTCTGAATTTGCTTCTTCCTCCCTATGACCGGAGGCCTGTATTGTTGCTTGAATTATAACTGTGAGGTTTGATCCCCCTCGGTAATGAAGCGCTGCAGTCATGTGTAGCGTTACCCTCTGTATGGGTCATCAGATGGTATGTTGCCACTGAAAATAATTGCAGGGTGTGTCTTTGTGGAGCAGCTGCTTTTGTCCAGTAGCACTGTGTCTCCAGTAATCCTGGCAGGCAGGCAGGCATGTGGTGACCTTGGCAAGGCCATGTTGAATTGAAATGTACACCAGCTATTTCGTAATAACTATGGTTGTGCCAAGTCACACCCTCTTTCCTTTTTTCCTCCATTCTGGCTGATTGGCTTGGAGACAGACAGACATAAACACACTGCCTGTTGGCCCCTCCCTTCTTTAAGGGCAGCTGGGTAATAACACAAAAGTCGCCCACTGGTGCCAACAAACCTCTCACACATACGGCTGCATTTACAGAATGCAGCAAGCGAGCAAGTCTTTGTTTTCTTTTTGTTTTTGTTTCACAGAGGCCTGTTTAGGTCATGGAAAGTAGCAAAGGGTTTGCTATGGAAATTCAAAAAGAGGATAAAATGTGTGAAATAAATAGGGAGAAACCCATTGATTATTGATAAAAATGAATACTTTTTGTTTTTGTTTTTTTGTTTTTGTTTTTTGGTTTGACAAAATGCTTCTGTTGTTGTTGCTCATTTGGTGACTGAAAGATTGCCCCTGGTATATAGAAATGCCTCCCTGTGGGAAGAATAAAGTACCTTCTATCGCTCTGTAAATCTCTATTCACACGTAGCAGTGCAGCCCTGAACTTTCCTCAGAATTACCTGGCAGCCAGTCTTGACCAGTCTAGTGCTTGTGAGAATAGATCAGGTAGTTTTTCTTTTTTTTTAAAAGAGTGAATTCAATGGGAGTGTGTGGGCGTCGTGTGTGCCGCCTCCGGCTTTCTGTACACTGGTGCCAGTCCTTGCCAAAACTAAGCAGGGTATTTCCAGTTTGACCATGTCACAAAGGACAACTTCAGATAATGCCCACATCTGATTCCCTCGGTCAGATTATGTTGACATTGTCTGAATTTCATTTATGAAAGCAGCTGTTCTCACATATACATGACACTTACTTGATTGATGCCAACAGTAAAGAAGCTGTTTGGACTCAGTGCTGATCTACAGTACTCTATACTTGATCTGGAAAGTCATAAAACACCTTTGGAGATGTGTCATAGTGAATGTTTACTAGTTATTTATTGATTTATGAACTTTAATAATCTGTCTTTTAGAAACATTTGAAAGTGGTGTTACTGCTGTGAGCCTTTAGTGTTCTTTTAAAAATTGCCAATTCATAACAGTTAATGTCTTCTACTGTTGTAGCACTAATAAGGCTCCCGTTACTCTCCCTGACCACATGGATCAGTAGATTAGATTTGTGTGTGTCTGTGTATGAATGATCATGCAGCTTTTTGCACATGCAGCGATATTAACCTTGCTTCTCTCCTCTCTCGTTACAGAGAAACCAGGTCCAGAGCGGAAACGCATTAAAAAAGAGCCCACCAACACCCGGAAGGCAAGCTTGCCGTTTGGAATGGGGATGCCAGGGATCCGGGCCGGGTACCCCCTCTCCGAGCGGCAGCAGGTGGCCTTGCTCATGCAAATGACAGCTGAGGAGTCCGTCAACAGTCCAGGTGCGTGTTTATCATTTAGGCCACGTCTTCTGTGGACAGACAGCCGACATTGGGGGAAAAAAAGGATCGGAGGGAGCTTTATATGTAGAATCCATGCATGGCAGACCAGTCATACTGTCCCTCTAAACAGAACCACTTTGTTAAAATTATTTCACATCTTAGCTGGAATCTAAACCTCTGATGTCTGTGATATGTGTTTTGTTTTAGCTGCTTTAATGGTTGCATATTCGTGCCGCCACAGTAGTGGAGTTGTTTTTATAAAATTCCGTACATAAGGAAATGAAACCAGCTTTTCTGTTTGTACTGCGTCTGGAGCTGATGGCGTAATCTCACTATTTGGGCTAAATGACAACAGCGAAAGTGTTGAGTTATCCTTTCTGGTGTTAGATGATCATTTTTCTTATTATAAGTTTACTACCTTCCCATTTCTGCAAAAATTGTACTTTATTTTTGATCGACAGTAATTTAGCTGGAAGTTTTTCAGACTTGTGAAATATAACTATTGTTACAAGTTTGTACTTTTTCCCCTCATTGTTGACATTTGAGACTGAATTAGTTTGATCCTACCTTATAACTGCTTTTATTTGCATGTTAATTTCTTTGTTGCCTGCCTGTGGGCATGGACATAGATTAAGCGAGTGTGTTTCAAATATCATTTGGGACAATAGCTGTACAAACTCAATAATGTAAATGTGATTAAGGATTGGATTTAATCTTGTAAATGTGATGAAATAAGCTCAAGTAAAGTAGGTTCAGCAATTGTGCTGTTTATTGCTAGAGTTGGATTGCCCCCTTCTGGCTGTAAGCAGTTATAGCACCTTGTTGTTCACAGTAGAAGTAGTAAACAAAACAAAAACAGTTAGAGTAAATTCTCCCAGAAGAGTGTGACTGACTCTTGCAGCACTGAAGTGAAATATGCATGTCTTACCTACAGATACAACACCAAAGCATCAGTCACAGTCCAGTCTGGGTCAGAAGGGAACGCCAAACTCTGCATCTAAAACCAAAGACAAAGTGAATAAACGGAATGAGAGAGGAGAGACTCGACTGCACAGAGCAGCAATCCGTGGAGAGGTACGCCGCATCAAGGAGCTCATCAGCGAGGGAGCTGATGTGAATGTAAAAGACTTTGCAGGTAAGGGCATCTTTGTTTTATGCTTGCCTTTGCTTTGTGTGTGTAGCTGTGTACCATTGATTCATTTAGAGTTTACACTTCTCTGACTATAATTCTTCTTGTGTTCAGGCTGGACTGCATTGCATGAAGCATGCAACAGGGGGTATTATGATGTGGCGAAACAGCTGCTGGCAGCCGGAGCAGAGGTCAACACCAAGGGGCTGGATGATGACACCCCTCTACATGATGCATCGAATAATGGACATTTCAAGGTAAAAATAAATCCGCCAAAGGTGTCGTGGGTCATTGTTGCTAATAGTAAAGAACAAAATAGGTTTTCAGGCTTCAGAAGGCTGATTATCGCAAGTCTCTCAAAATGAAAATATTAATGATCAGTGGCCCATTTGTGATCCATCAAAACAAGTTTGTCAGATTAAAATCTGAGTTTTAAAAGTGAGAAGATGGCTACAGAGTGAGTTTAGATGTGGTTTTGTTTAAATACCAGGTTAAATTGAATCGTACCACTAGTCTTTTTTTCTTGAACTGTCCTCAAATTTTCTACCCTTTCAACACCTTCATTGCAAAAAGGTACACGCACCAGTGGAATACAGTAAAAATGTCAAATCTCACTACTTTTCTTCAAAATCAAATGCTGGCCATGCATGGTTTTATACTGTAATGGCATTGAAATGAGATGTTGATGTTGTTTTAATAGAAGTCAATGAGACATTTTTGGCCACAAAGGTGTCCACAGGGAGCATCTGGAAGTAATGGTGTAATCAGATTTATAATCAAATTAATTTTGCTGCTGATCTTTGACATCCAAGACTAATCACCACCAGTGTCAATAAAGTGTTCCTGCCTGTCTGCAGCAGTGTTGTGTGAGGTTAAGATGGCACTGATGGTATCAATGCTGTCGCAAATTGATCCAATTAAACATTTAGTATTGATTAGTATCTGAGAAAATCCTTTTTAGACAACCCCACTGAGAAAACATTTTGAAGACCACCCCTTACTTGGTGCTATTTTGCAGATGTTAGAATTTGCCTCACTCTGATTCTCCTGGCCTGAAAGCAGCTTCAGACCATCATACTTTCTCACCTCTACACGGCTTTTGGCATTTTACTAAAATTGGTTGCAGAGACGCCACATCACCCAGTCTGCTGTCAGTAAAGTCTGGAGGTTTTGGTGTGGAAAAGTTCTGTCCATCAAAAGTCCCGCTCTAGCTTCGTCGTAACTAAATAACAACTTTGAAGTGGAAGATTAATTCTGTACTCTTTATCCTATTAAGCTTTGAACCACTTGAGAAGTTGCTGATATTACCTTTAAAATTGCAAAAAATCATTAAAGTTTTATCCTTTTCAGGTGGTTAAGCTACTTTTACGGTATGGAGGGGACCCGCGTCAAAGCAACAGGAGAGGGGAAACCCCACTGAAGGTTGCCAACTCTCCAACTATGCTCAATCTGTTGCTGGGGAAAGGCACTTACACCTCAAGTGAAGAAAGTTCATCAGGTATCATTTTCAATCTTAAATCTTTGAGTCACCTAATTGGACAACTGTTACAAAAGTTATTCAAATACATGAGGCTAGAAGTAGTAAATTAATTGTGTCCTCTTTGTGCTCTTTATGTTCTACAGAATCTTCAGAGGAGGAAGACGCCCCCTCGTTTGCCCCGTCCAGCTCTGTTGATGGCAATAACACAGACTCAGATGTTGAGAAGGGCCCGAAGTTAAAAGGGAAAACCGCAGACCCTCCTAAATCTGCCGTCACACCTGTCAAAGATGAATACGAATTTGATGAGGATGACGAGGAGGAACGCGTCCCTCCCGTAGACGATAAACACCTCTTGAAAAAAGACTTCCGCAAGGACTCAGTAAGCAAGACCAACAGCTTCATCTCTATACCCAAGATGGAGGTTAAAACCTATTCCAAAAGCAACTCGCTCACACCAAAGAAACCTGGCAGGCGGATCATCTCTGACAGTAATAGTTCAGACGAGGATGATAGGACGTTGTGTTTCACGCCAGCGCCTACGCCACGGCAACAAGCCCAGCAAACAAATACTAAGACTAGAGACTCTGGCAGCATGAGCTCTAAACAACAAAAAGACAAGAATAAAGTCAAGAAGAAGCGAAAGAAGGACAGTAAAAATAGTGTCAGTAAAGAAGTCCGGTTTGGTAAAGTCAACGACAAATTCTGTACGTCTGACTCCGATTGTGCGGATTTGGAGAGTGAGGACGATAAGGGCTCAAATAGCATAAAAGACTCTTCTGCAGCAAACCTGAAAGACTCTCCAGGCTTTAATGCTTCCTCCTCCTCCTCCTCCTCCCATGGAAACTTGAACTCTCAGAAACAGACGCCGTCTTTAGCAGAACAGCATCCAAAGCAGTGGAGGACGGATAACTGGAAGACCGTGTCGTCTCCCACATGGTCAGACGTCAGTTCGCTCTCAGATTCGGTCAGAACTAGACTGTCCAGTGGGTCTGACTACTCCTCTGAAGCTGAAGATTCCTGCGTGGAGTCGATAAAACAAGTAAAGAGGAAAGCGCAGGAAAACAAAAAGAAGAATAACAACGTGCACAGTAACACTGTGGAAAAGAAAAACTCAGAGCTCTACAAAAATACAGAGAGCACCATCTCCAAAACTGACGTGGATGGCAAAGTGGTGAAAAAGCATAAAGTGAAGCACAAGCACAAAAATAAGGAGAAGGACAAAGCTCCTAGTCTAGTGCTTAATCAAGATATGAATGAGAAATTTGTTAAGAGCTATTCTTTTGATTTTGATGATTCGAGGCAAAAGTCCCTAATTGTTGAGTCAGAATCACCAGCTGAGAGCAAAGTCAAATTATCCAAACATGAAAAAGACCATTCAAAAAAGGAGGACAGGTTTTCGAAAACAAAGTCTGAGGATAAGGATTGGTCCTCGGGAAAAGACCTGCACAGAACAACAAAAGAGGAGAAAAACAAGAAAACAAAGGACTCCACCAAGGACAAGTTAAATAAGGAGGAGAGGGAAAAGCCTATAAAATCTGACAAGGAGAGGAACGTCAAAGAGAAGGAGAAACCCAAGGAAGATAAACAAAAAGCTCACAAAGAGGAGAAAAAGAAAAAGTCTAAGGAGAAGTCCTCCTCAAAGACAGACAGGAAAAGTGAGCAGAAAGAGGAAAAACATCTGAAGGCGGAAAAGGACAAAAATGCCAAGGAGGATAAGGAGAAGTGTAAAAAAGACAAAGTACAGAAAGAGGAGTCTGAGTACGAAAGCTATGACGTTAATCGTTTCCTCAACTTGGAGGACACAAAACTCAGTGCCTCCGATGACCATCATGACAGATGGGGCTCTGAGATGTCCTCTGACTCCTCCCTCTATGGCGACGACAGCTGGGATGCTCCTGTCAAAGAGTACAAGGACTACAAAGCCAATAATTCTGTTAAACTTATTGTTGAGACTGTTAAGGAGGAGACGAGGAGGAAAGAAAACAAAGTCAAGGACAAGAAATCAGACCACAATGAGAAGAGATCAGAAAAGGAGGCTACTTCTAAGAAAAAAGACAAGGACCCTTCGGAAAAGACAAACGAAAAGAAGAAAGACTGGTCAGAAAAACAAAAATTAAACTCCAGCCACTCAGTTGAGAAAGAAAAGAAGAGGAAAGAGTCCACAGAGGCAGCCAAGGACAAAAAAGACAAGGATTCTCTGGACAGCAGTCGAGACCGTAAAGACTCGTATGAGTTCATGAAAGAAAGAAAGGATATCAAAATCAAGCAGGAATCGATAAGAGATGAATATGGCAATGATACTTTCTTCAAAGACATTGATCCTGTCAGTAAATCGTGTGATATCAGAGAAAGGAACCACTCTGGGAAGGAGAAAGAAAAGAAGGGTGAGGGAATGGAGAAACGGGAAAAGACAAAAGCTGACAAGCACAAAGAGAAAACAAAAGACAGAGGAGCTGATCAGGAGAAGGACAAGAGTGATAAAAGCTCCACAGAAAAAACTGTCAAGGATAAAGATGCTGACCGGAGTACCAAAGACAAGAAGGAGGGGGCCAAAGACAAACATAAAGACTCTCATGGCAAAGACAAAGATCGAAAGATGTCTTCAGAACAGACAAAGGAAAAGAAAGAGAAGGCCTCTCAAGACAAACATTCAGATCGGGAGAAAGATTTCTTGGAGGTAAAGAAAGAGGAAAGAAAAACTGAGAAGATCCGGGAGAAAACGTGGTACAAAATAGCCGACATATTCACTGATGAAAGCGATGATGACGACGACAGCTACAGCGGTGGGGTACTGGTGTCTGATTCCATCAGAAAAGATTCGACACCCGATCAAGATGAGCTGGATCACTTCCCTTCAGAAAAAAGAAAATCTTCTGCAGATAGTAAACATAACACAGAAAAGGCAAAAGACAAAGAGCACAAAGATAAGAAGAAGGATAAGGCCACATTTGACACAGGTAAAGAGAGGAAAGGCTCCCAGGAGAAACACGGCAAGGACAGGAAAGACCCGGTAGATACAAAACATAAGGAGAGGAAAGACAGGATGTCAGTGGACTCAAACCAAGAGAAGAAAAACAAGCAGAAGCTTCTGGACAAAAGGGACACGAGCGAGGAAAAAACCAAGAGCAAATATAAAGACAAGCAGGACCATTCCAAGGAAAGAAAGCCCTCGAAAGGAAGCGGGGAGAATGAGAAGTCTCTCTTAGAAAAACTGGAGGAGGAGGCTATGAATGACTACAAGGATGACTCCAATGACAAGAACAGTGAAATCTCCTCCGACAGTTTCACTGACAGAGGTCACGATCCGGTCCTCACCAGTTACTATGACTCAATCAGCCTGCCTGATATGGCCGAGGACAGAAGAGACTCCCTGTCCATATCTACGCCACAAGACAAGTTCAGAGAGAAAGAGAGGCATCGGCACTCCTCTTCGTCCTCATCCAAGAAAAGCCATGACAAGGAGAAGGAAAAGACAAAAAAAGACAAAGGAGACAAACGTGACAAAACAGAAGAAATTAGAGAGTCCTACGGCCGCAGAGAGAGCCTGCCTTTTGAGAAAGAGCCTATGCCTCTAGAGGCAGACCCTTACACATTCCCATACGGAGGTAAGGGAGACGGAGAGGACGACTTCGATAAGACATTAGAATTTGAGAAGGAGATGTCCAAAAAGGACAAAGACAAAGGAACTGGTGTCATAAGTGACAGAATGAAAGACAAAAAGAAAAAGGAAAAGCATAAAGAAAAAATTAAGGAAGAGAAGAATAAATATATCGATGGCTTTGGGTCATTTAAACACTCCAAAGATGACGCAAAGTCAGGGTTGAAAGACAGCCCACAGGTCACTGTTCTGAAGGACCGGTCAAAGGAAGACAGTCCTAAATTTGATATGAAAAAAGACAGAAATCGGGATACGCTAGACAAAGACAACAGACTGGACCACAATAAATCTAAGGCTAAGGATGAAAATGAAAAGCTCTCTCAGCCCAAAGACAATGCAAGGAAAGATAATCGACCACGTGAAAAACTGTTGGTTGATGGGGATTCTCAGATGACAAGTTTTGGTCAGATGTTGAGTCAGAAAGACCAAGAGAATGAAGAGCGGCTCAAGAAATACAGAGAAAAAATGAAGCAGATGGAGAAGCTTAGACCCAAGTCTGGCGACCCAAAACTAAAAGACAAAACCAAGTCTACAGAGGAAATACGGAAAAGCCGCAGTGAGCTATCATCCAAGAAATCTAACAGCCTTGAGTCTGGTCTTAAAGAGAAGAAGCTGAAGGATGTTGGTCTCCCGGCCCAAATGATGTCTCCAGGCAGAAAGTTCCAGCCTACTGATAATCAGAACTCAAAGGATTGGCTCCCTGGCCACCAAATCAAGGACAACCTCCCTGCTTCTCCCAGGCCAGATCAAAGCAGGCCAACTGGTGTTCCCACACCTACACCTGTCATGTCATGCCCCAGCTTCGAGGACGTAATGCAAACTCCACGTACACCATCCTGTAGTGCAGAGGATTACCCTGACATTATGCTGGATCCGCTGGACTGTCAGAACTCGTCTGCAATGACTATGTCAATGAATGCCTGCTCCCCATCCTTCTTTGAAAGGTATTTTAATACTCAGACACACTGCATGTTACTAATGTTATAGTTTGATTGTTTTGAACTGAGGCTTAATGTTTTGTTTTTCTTTGTCCACTAGCAGGTACTCTAACCCCCAGACTTTTCCGGAGGGCACATGTCCTACCCCTGCGAAGAACCTCCAGCTCCCCCTTGTCAGTCGTTCTGCATCCTCTGATGTCCGCCGCCCTCTAGAAGATGAGTTCAAGGCAGAGGCAAACAAGTTTCTTCGACAGCAGAATGATCCAGGGGCGGAATTTGATCAGACGTCTGCCTGTCAGCCTCTCGAGGACAAATCTGCAACTCTGGATAGATTGGAGTTGATGTCTACGTATTTTCCTCCAATAAGGGTACCATCACCTCGGCGAGAGCCATCCTATCAAACACCAGATGCAGCAACACCAACTCTTGCTGGCAACGACGGTAATGAACACCTTCCTGAAAGTGTGTACAACAATTTCTTGCCCAAACCGTCGACACCAGTTCACAGGCCAGACCCCCAGGAGCCATGCTTTGACATTGCAGCACCACCAACTCCAGCTCCAGCTGCCTTGCCACCCTTGGATATCGACGATATCACGGAGCACCACCACAGCGAGCCTAATCTGGTCGTCTCAAATCTTCCATCTGTCACAGAAGAACAAGAAGAGGAAGAAGAAGAGGAGGAGGAGGAAGAGGAGGAGGAAGAGGGCGACATGGATGAGAGACTTGATGGAGAGCACTGTGCAGTGGATGAGCCGGACCAAACAAGGGAGCCATGCTCGTTTTCTCCTCAAGTTGAGGATCCTTTGCAGAAGAGCTGGCCTGCAGAGTCTCCAGACCAGCATGAGCCAGAAGTCCACCAACTGTCCCCCACACATCCTGCAGCTGACCACGGAGAGAACTGTTTCGATCACAACATGGGTTGGAACAATGACATGGATATGAAATCTCCCCACAGGACATATGGAGAAATAGAGGCTGCTGTCTCCAAAATAACCAGCCCTTACTCCCATTCTGATAATGACATGCAGCCCTTGTCTGGACACCCCTCTGTCACTTCCCCTTATGCTACCTGGAGCAGGTGGCACAAAGATGACCCAGAGGACTTTGATGAGCAGAAGGAGGCTGTGGCTGATATACCCTCTCCAGAGAGGCCAGACACTGCTATGGATGAGGACCCCAACTATTTAAACAACTCTTCTTCCTCCAATAGGCTGGAGTCCTTCTTTCCAGACTGCAACAAGCCGAGCATCGAAGAGGGACACCAGGTGGAGACAGAGACAACATGTGTGGAACCAGACAGCAGACAGAGCACACACAGTTTCAGTGCTGCCGCTGAAACTCACATGGCTCCAGCTGTGGGCCCTGAGCCTGTGGTTCCCTGGGAAGATCCATTTTCAGCTGATGAAGACGACCTGGGACCTTTCTCCTTGCCTGACCTTCCACTGCCAGACAAGTCAGAAGAAGCTGAGTCTGGGGAACCTGAACTTGCTGATCACAACAAGAGTGTGTCGACCCACATTAGACACACTATTACAGACAGAGAGGATCTGGACATTATGGAAGTAGACCTGCCAACCCTAGCAAAGACCTCACGCTCTGCTGGAGACTTAGGCTTAGGGGAATCTGCTAGACAGGACTTTGTTGTGCCATCACCACATGCCCCTTTCCAGCAGGAATTGGACCCCGAGCCTCAAAGTGTGCCTGTCAACAGCTCAGTGGGACTTAACCAACAACAGAGCAGCATTTTGGAAAGGAAACTACCTTATGGGGGATCGGATGAGTCTGATCCCAGCATGTTGTATACATCTGTAAAATCAGATGCCAGTCAGCAACCACATATACAGATGCATTCGCACTCTGAGTCATTGCATATAACCCTGGACTCTGTGCCTGCTGTCAAGCCGGACACGAGACAGGAGGAGATGCCTGAGGCTGTACCAGAGCCTGTGTCCTGCAGTCCTCTTCCTCAGATCCCAGAAGTGGTCACCCTCTCCACCTCCGTGGAGCCACAGGACACTCAGGACGCATCCAAGCAAACATTGGTGACCTTGACCACAGTGTCCGCCCCTGTAGATGTTCCCAAGAAGGTGGATGAAATCCCGCAAAGGATGACCCGAAATCGCGCCAAGAACAATCCAGCTGCTGCTTTTGCCGTTGCCACCCCTCCTACCTCTAGCATAATAACCTCATCTACCGCTGCCACCTCAGTGACAACCAGTCCGGTGGTGAGCATTAACCCAGTTCCTACTAGAACCCCAACACCCACCTCAGCATCTTCCTTTACAGCTCTGAAAAAAGAGAAAGACTCTGGGCTTAGTGTCCCGTCTACTGCTTCTAATTTGACCCCAGCAGTATCTGTGACGACTTCTACGGTGGTTCTCAGCAAGACAACAAAAGGTCGTCCTCTTCCTGTCGACGAAGAGGAATCTCAAACCCAGCACCCACGGAAGAGGAAGTTTCCACGTTCTACAGGGCAGCAAGTCCAGGTTCAGCTGGTAAATACAGCCATGCAGCAGACCAGGGAGATGATACAGCAGACTTTAGCTGTAGTGGTCAATGCCATCAAGCTAGACGACATTGAACCCTACCGCAGCGAACGTTCCAACCCGTACTTTGACTATCTGCAGATTAGGAAGAAGATTGAGGAAAAGAGGAAGATTCTCTGCTACATCACGCCTCAGGCTCCACAGTGTTATGCTGAATATGTAACCTACACTGGCTCCTACCTGCTTGATGGCAAGCCTCTCAGCAAGTTGCACATCCCTGTGGTAAGTTCTGGTGTCTTTGCACCATTTCAAAATAATCTTATCCTGCAATGTAATGGTATTAATGCTGTGCTGTGTTTTGCTTATCAGATTGCTCCACCTCCATCACTGTCAGAACCTCTGAAGGAGCTCTTTAGGCAACAAGAGGCAGTAAGGGGCAAGCTTAGGTTGCAACACAGCATAGAACGGGTAAGAAAGTGTCATTTATACTTCAGGATCATTCACTGTCCTAAATTCACTCATTCCTCACTCCTTCCCTGCTTTTTATACATTCAACAATACACATGTGCACCAAACGCTGGGAGCACTTCTTTGATAAAAGATCAAAGCCTTTTTTAAATGGAAATGCAAGTGAAATCGGCATAGTCCCCACGCCTTGGTGAAGCCAAAGTGAACAAATCTGTTTCATATATCTCACTTACTTGAATGACAGCCATTTGTTTGACGCAATGATGTTCCTCTTCACATCATCAATGTTTATTTCTTTCTGTGTTGTGCTTGCTGTTCACAGGAGAAGCTGATTGTTTCATGTGAACAGGAGGTTTTAAGGGTCCACTGCAGGGCAGCCAGGACAATAGCCAATCAGGCTGTGCCGTTCAGCGCCTGCACCATGCTGTTGGACTCTGAAGTGTACAATATGCCATCGGAGAGCCAGGTGGGAAATGTATCAGTATCTCAAAAAAACAAGTGTTAAGTATTTCTATGTCCATTACTTAGTCCACATTCTTACTTTTTCTGCATTCTTAGGGTGATGAGAACAAATCTGTGAGAGATCGCTTCAATGCGCGGCAGTTCATTTCCTGGATCCAGGACGTGGATGATAAATACGACCGCATGAAGGTAAATACTGGCACTTTGCACAAAATAACTGATAATAGAAGCACAAAGTAACAACCACTGACTTTGCTAAATGCCATCTTGATGCCGATATTACATATTTAATGGTACATCTCTACATATGAGAACCATGACCTGTGTGCATAGTCACTATATTCATGCTATGCTTTTCCTTCCCCAGACGTGTTTGTTGATGCGACAGCAGCACGAGGCAGCAGCTCTCAATGCGGTGCAAAGAATGGAGTGGCAGCTGAAAGTCCAAGAACTGGACCCAGCGGGGCACAAATCCCTGTGCGTCAACGAAGTGCCGTCCTTCTACGTGCCAATGGTCGATGTCAACGACGACTTTGTCCTGCTGCCCGCGTGACATACCGCTTCCCACAGAGAGAAAACTTAGTCTCGATCACTTCTTATCAAGGAGACTTCGTTGAACCGAACGAATGGAAAGGGCTAGCAAGTTTGAGAGAGGACCATAGAGGGGGAAAAAATTTATTCTCTAGAAAAAGAATAAAAATGAAAAACTTGCTCTCGATTCCCTTCCGTGAAGAAAGAAAAAAATGTTTTTAATGGGGGAAAAGAAAATACACAACTTGCACTTTCATCCTCAAAGTTTTTATGCGTTTGTTTGATCAGAGCGAGAGAAGCAGAAACAGTTTTTGCTTTGAGGCTCTGGCACTGGGACACACCTCCTCATCGCTTAGTTTTGGTGAGACGGAGGACAGATTTATTTTCTGCATTCGTTTGTGGTTCCTGCTTCAGTACCCACCCCCACCGCTGCTACTGTGGGATCTACCAGAGAAGAGCTCTCCCAACAGAGTGGTGCCTGTCCTGGGGGAGGACTGAGGAGATGCCTCCTTCTTTTTGACACGAGTCTCCACATGGGCCAGGAGATCTTGACAGAGTCCAGCGCTGACCCAGATGCAGTCAGTGGAGCCGTGGTGAATTGTGTGGATCCTTAAATTGATCCAGGAGGTTAGAAGCAGCCACTTTCAGGGCTATGAGACCCAGATACCCAGAGGACGCCCTCTCTGTTCACACTGCACCGAGCTTGGCTAAACAGTAGTGAAACAAAGGCTGCAGCAGGTTGGAACAAAGCAAGAGAGGGTGGGGGTCACGATGTGTGTGCACGTCAGGGCCCAGTGTCTGAGAGGAAGAGACCGTTCGTGCAGCCTCTCAGCCTGGCTTAACAAAAGAGGACATGAACGGATCTCTGAGGACAGACCGGAGTGTTCCTCAGTGATCCCGCTCGTTCCACCACAAGACACATCAGACCGCCATGGACTGCAAAAAAAGGAAAAAAAAAAAAAAAAAAAGAAACCACACACACAGGACAGGACAACCAGAAGAAACAAACACAACGAATGTTGAGATTCAAAGAGACTATTTGAGAAATTGTGGTTTTTGGCAGGAGAGAAATATTGTTTTTGTCTATTTCTTTACTTGGGCATTTCATTGTTTCTGAGGAAGTGACTTGAAACACTACAGAGCCAATATTAGTTTAATGGAAAAAACAAACAAAAGAAAACTGAAAAAAAGTTGTATTCCGTAAATTATGTACAGTTTTTATATTCGTTAACCAATGTATTCTTGCTGCCTTCTAGATAATTTATTTTGCCACACATTACTGCACAGTTGTAAATAACCTATGTACTGTAATATCACTCAGTTAAGTGTAAAGAAAAAAAAACATAAAAGAAATAAAAATTATCTTTTTATGTACAGTTCACTTTTGGGCAGCACTTTCCCCCTTCATATCCATGGGCCAAAACATGTACACGATTCTGTCAGTATTGAAAGACTCCAGTGCACAGTTGTATAATCCCATTTTTTGACTCGATCCGGGGTTAGGTGAGGCGGCTCGCCTGGACCCGAGTCACCGCAACACAAGCAGCTGACAGAGAACACTTCTGCATTCAAATGGGCCTCTCACGGGCCGACAACCATACAGCCCCCTCAGATGTAGCAGAATAGTTGTTGAGGATTTATTTAAAGAATAGACAGAGGATTATTATTCATTGCTTTACTACACAATTATATCTGAAAATTTTCGAACCAAGAAAATGCCTTTTTCAGTGAAAAAAAAAATGTACTCATTGTTGGGCAAAGTCACACAGAAGTATATAAATAAATATATATATATATGGGTGGGATGGAAGAGAGATGTCATTCACAAGCAAAACCATATGAGTGTAGAACTGTTTGAAATTATTATTTCGCTTGTTTTTAATTTAAAGAAAACAATTTGACTTTTTTTTTTTTATGAATCATCGCACAACGTCACCGTCTAAAACCAACAAGACACGGGTCTTTCAGCGCTTCACTACTCGTCCTGTCCTCCCAGTGTCTGACTTCACATTGAACTGACTGAAGAGTTGTAACAGCCACAGAGACATTTTCATTCCTCACAGACTCCTAAACACACTGTCAGTCCCTTATGTCACAGTACTGGTGAGCAGCTTATTTTCATGGTGCTGTTACAACTTTTACTCACTAGGTGGTGCCAGTGTGTCAGAAAGAAAAACACTTATTCATGGCTCAGCAGACCTGAGGCCTTCCACTTAGACGGGTGTTTTTAAAGTAGATTTTAAAGGTGTTAATTTCCATGTTAGGACTCCAGTACAACACCCACTTAAAATCACGGGAATAGGCTCGAATAGGCTCAACAACCAAGTCACGTTGTCCTCCTTTTTTATTTTTTATCCTACAAGGGGCTGGGGCTAGTGTGGTCAGGGATTTTAAATGTTTCGGTTACTTCCTGTTATTATTCAGTTGTGTGGTGTCTTGTGTCAGGCCCGAGGAGACAGGTTACCAGACTCAAATCTTCTCAGAACAAACCAAAAAGTGAACAGACGTCAACAGAAGCAGTGGAAGGGGGAAGAAATAGGTTAATGCTGAATAGACTGACTTTTAAAAACTAAAGGATCCCATTGAACCGTTGATTTGTGATGACTTGTATTGGTTCTCTGTTTTTAGTGGGTTTTAAAAAGCTTTCCCGACCTGCCCCACGCACACGGTCTTGTGTGTGAAAGCTGCTCACGTATCCTGATGGCAATATTCTGATCCTAAACTTTTAAGTTATTTACACACTGTCAGTCAGCATAGCTGTGTATGGTATGTCTAGTCAAGTGCAATGGTTGTTGCTATTACACTGTGCAGACAAGGTGGCTAGATGTATTGTCCTGGGTATTATTTTTTTCTTTTAATTTTGAGACACACACACACCCTGGTTTGGTATATGTTTGGAAACAAAAAGTCTGGAAAAATTGTTTTTTAAAACTCATGTTTTTATTTTACTGTTGGTTTCTTACAGTTTTGGGGACGAGGGTCGCGGGTGTCTTTTGTTCAAGAATCCTTGTGTGTTTTTTAGCAAAAAGTGTATGTAGCTTTGAATGTTGTTGTGTTTTATCTTTGGGGGAGGGAGGGGGAGGGGTTCTGTTCTGTATAAAAACCAGTGGCATGTCAATCACGTTGCTTATTGAGCAGAATGTATACCGCTACAACGCCCTGACCGACACCCTCTCACTATTGTTTACAACACATCGAGAGCGTTTCCGTTTTGAGTGGCACCTTTCTTTCTTTCTTTCTTTCTTTTTTTTTTTCTTTTTTTTTAAAAACAAAACATAAAAACAGTTTCATAGCCCTGCCTTTGTTCGTACTTCTGCCATCGTTCGTATGTTTAACAACCTACAAAGGCTTGAAATGGTGATGGTCGACACAGCCGACAGGTGATCTCCCTCCCCCCTTCCGTTCCCCAGCTGCACAGAGCAATAGACCAAACACACATCCATTCACTTTGATCATCCGGCGTGAATATTCGGCTAAGACACAGAGACACACAGCAGATGCATAGTAGAGCTCTTGGCCGTGGTGATACAGATGCTAGCCTGACACCACCTCAGTCAGCAACATATTACCTCTACTCTACTCACATTCGCTCATAATGTTTGTTTTTAGACTTGTTGTGTTTTCTTACTGGACATAAAAATATACATGATTTAGTTTCATTATGTAGAATCACGATTTCAAGCCTTTTTGTTTTTGTTTTTTTAAATTCTTTGTTCCTTTTTATTTTATTTTTTAGAATGGATTATGACTAATAAAAAGCATGGAGAACTACTCTTTTAAATGGTGGGAAATAACCTATTTATTATCATTTATTTTGTTTTTGTTTTGTTTTGTTTTTTCTGGCACCTGTGGTATGTTTTGAGTTGAAGTTGGTCTCCGCTGTGTAAATTTTCCTCCTTGTAATGCGTGAAAGAGACATACTGTACATAGCTCTGTAAATAAAACCTCCCAGGACGTTTTGCACCCTCCTCTTTGTACTAGTCTGAAAAATTGCGTAGAATGTGGGGTTCTAACAGCAACGGGCCGTGTCGCGCTCGCTGCAGGTGATTATGATGTAACAATGTAACATTTTTTTTCTTTTTCTTTTTTCTTTTTTTTATTTGTACAATGTAGTTTATTTGTGTACATATTGATGGAGCAGCTAAAGGGGGGAGGGTTGGTTCACGATGGGTTTGTTGATGCTATCGTCAGTGCTGTAACAGAAATCCAGTACTTTCACCTCTAGCTGTTGTTGATTTCCTGCAAAAAAGAAAAAAGTGACAAAAAAAATTAAACGTGGAAAAAAAGACACAAAAAATTTAATAAAAAAGCAAAAACAAAAAAGAGAGAAACTGAAAATGAGTATGGACGGGGGGGGAGACTAAAACTGAAAAGTAAAAATTCTAAATTGTTATTTTCTACAGTTGCATGTACAGAGAGCGCGAGAACTGCTGTTGTTCCTCAGAGATTATGTTCGTTAATAAAATTTTGAAATATTACCAGCCGTTCTCTGCATTTTGGTTTTTGTGTTTTCATAGAGCTGCCCAGAGATATTGTAGTTTTGTGTTGTTGTTTTTGTCTTTTTGTTTCATTTTGGACTATTTCAGTTCATGTTTTTCTTTTTTGAAAACAATGAGTGTCAGTTTAGTATTTTTCAGTGTTAGATTGTTCTTTTAATTATTATTTGAATTCATATATTTAATTATTCTGTGGAGGATGTCAGAGGCAGGATTTTGGAAAATCTGTGCGGTTCACTCACAGACTTGGAGACATGCAAAATGTCAAATATGTCCATCAAAGCTTCATCAGGCAGATTGCATCTTTATCAGCCTCATCGTTACTAAATTAACAAATGCTAAAGTCAAATAATATCGATAATATCATTTTTATTATAATGACATTTCCAAGATCACAAAATTTTTAGTTTTTACTTATTAGCTTTTATTTAACTAAAATAGTTTGTCACATCTAGTTTTTAACATTTACATTGAAATATACTGAAATAATATCCTTTCATATTTGAATAGCTCCTGCTAAGTACAGAATAATATTTGCATAATGGCACACTAAAATTATCACAAAGGTTTTTTAAAAATATAAAAAATGGCAGTTTTTAAATTTCCATTAAAAAAAATTTAACAGGAAAGTGTTTAAGGTGTAACAAGCATGTCTGTTTTCTTTAAGGCAGAGCAGTTGCAC